CGGCAAAAAAATCAACGGTAATTTTTAGCCAGTTGAAACTTGCACATTATTACACTAAAATTGAATGGGCAATAAAAATGAGAACAAGTTTGAAATTTTGATGAATATATTTTTTACGTGTTCTACAAATTCTTAAGCTTAGGTTTATGTGGTATTTGTTAGGGAATACACTGTATTTTAATTGAAAAATCTGAAAAATTAATAAATAAACATAGGTGGCAAACAAAACTTTTCTGAATTTGGTCCGAAATGATATGTCCAACACTGTTTGTATGTGTGTATAAATATGTATATATAAAATGACTTTTTAAAGAATTTAATTCTTGTAAAAATTGCATACCATTGCTCTATCTAGTTTTTAATAAAGTTTTTTTTATTTGTTTATCTGTTTAAATAATATTAAGATCTTGGTTTTAAACCACGTATATTTCATTAAATATTCATGTTTTAATCAAGGATTTACATATTTATGCAAGTTAACAAAAAGATGTAACTACATCAATAATTATGTTCGCTGAAGTACCCGCATCGAGGTACTTAAGCGGGTTCTTTTAAGTACCCAACCCGCCTAAGTACTTCAAAAAGCTGAAATCTTTCTTGAGGTACTTAAGCGGGTTTTACTGTATGTACATTTGCAAGAGAAACTAGCGGTTTTTATAGGAAAGGAATTTTTATATATTGAAGGCTTATATTCAATACCCTCTGTATGCATTTTTCACAAAAATGGGATTCTGTTATGAAAATTCACTGAAGACTTAACTGTCCTCGCTGAATTTACTACTACATTGCCAATTCAGAATCAGCATCAGTGCTAAAATGTAAGTTCCAGATGGGTTCTAAGACCTCGATATGCAGTTGTAAAAAATAGTTGCATACAGTTTGTTTTACAATTAGTTACATAGATTTTGCGAAGTGATTTTTTGCAAAATACCTTTACCTTTACGACCCTATCTTATATGAAAATATTTTTAAAGTGTATATGTTCCATCGAATAAATACAAATTCTTAAAAAAATTAATTTAATGAAAAACTTTTTCACAGATTTTGGGATTTATTGCTATTATTTCCCAACAAAAATATTAAAATAGTGTTTTAGTTGAACTTATGGAATTTTTAATAGAGCATAGGACCTTTTATCATACTACATATTATTTTTCTTCTTCTTCTTTAATGGCGCTGTAACAGCCTAAGCGATTTTTGGCCGAGTCCAAAACAGCACGCCAGTCGTTCCTCTTCTGTGCCAACTGATGCCAATTGGAAATGTCAAGTGAAGCCAAGTACTTCTCCGCCTGGTCTTTCCGTAGGGTTACCAGATTTTTTTTATGCACGAAATCAGTACGTTAGACTTTTTTCATGCTAAAAAAATCAGTACTTTTCAGTACATTTTTGTTTAAAGCAAAATTATGAATAAAAGTAACAGATAATGCTATAAAACGCCGGAGTACTTGTTTTTAACAATATTTTGGTATATAAATAAAATATAGTTCATAAAACAAGTGTTATTTATTTTAACAAAGAGTGTACACATCATTTTACACAGAAGTCAATAAATTATTTTATTTTTATGAAATTTTTGAATAGCAATAATGAGATCATTTCCATCTTCAGTGTTTAAATAGTCGAGGAGTTTTATACATTTCAATAAAAATTACTTTTAATATGAAGTTGACTTTAAATAATTTGAATTAGGAGCCGGTTTCTCTTTGCACCAGCAAGCGAACGTTATATGTACATAAGATCCTCTCAGTTGCTTCGTTTGAGTGTAGTTTTGAAAAAAACAAAATTACATAGTTTGTCACACTGTGGAAAAGTACCAGTATTTAAGGACTTCATATATAATTCCTCATGGCTTAATATAATTTTTTCAACTACGCAAAAACTTTTAAAGACTAAGAATTCGCTAAAGATAATATCTATCCATATGTCTTTTATGTAAAACTCTTTTACAGTGTCCATAGGTTGTGAAAAAAGAGTTGTAAGCTATAGGCAAAAGCGATTCGAATATTAAAATTTGTTGTTATTAAACTCCCTACAAGAACACTACGCGTTATATAACGAATCATGTAACGCAGAGTTGTAACGTAAATGTTATACTCTCATAGAATGTTTACGTTAATTTCCTAAGGGCGACATGAAAAATCTAACAGGATATCGTGTTATAGATATGTTATTTGTAACATATGTCTCCTGTACGTGTGTAAATTTTGACATGTGGCTTTGAGTGTTTGGTGAAATATTTGAATGTATTGGAGTCTGCGTTAGTCGTGTCTGGTAGGGCTGAAAGTTATTTTCGAGATAACTGGCATCACTCGACAAAAAAGTCAGCCTTCTTTTTAAATAATTTAAGCTCCATCATATTATCGCAACTGGTACGTAACGACCCGATATGCCTATAAAGCGATTGCACGTTTTGTTGTATTAATTTCTTGGGCATATGAAACATTATCTGAAACATGCCAACAATAATTAAATTATTCTGTTCTTACTTTTTACAGTAGGGTTTAAGGAAGTTCCAACGTTATGTAAAAGTCTTATGAAAATCTTAGAGTATTTTGTTTGAATTGAGAATTCAGTACAAATCAGTATAAATTTTGAAAAATCAGGACATTAGAGTACTGATTAAAGAAGTGAATAAAATCAGTACAAGAGTTGAAAAATCAGTGCCGTACTGATAAAATCAGTACGTCTGACAGCGGTATCCTTCCAAAGCAAAGGAGGCCTTCCTCGCCCTGTCATACCAGTAGGGATGGCAAAAAAATAAAATAATCGATTAATTAATCTTATGATTAATCACAAGCCAAAAAATAATAATTGCAATTAATTGCAATTATTGAGAAATAATCGATTAATCAAATTTTTAAAAGTAATTTTTTACAGTGAGTTTTCCCAAAAACATTTTTCCATAAAAAAATTCTACTTCTCTTGTTTATTAGCCTTAAATAAAATAAAACGAATGTTTTTAGCGCCGAAAATTATTTATTATTTAACCATGTTTGCAAAAGCAAAAGTTCTGATAAGCGTTTTGCCGTTAAGTGGTTTCGTTTCTCGGTGGCTGTAGCACCAGGTTTTGAAAAAAAGGCGCTCAGTAGGCACCGAGATACCAACTAAATGACAGTTGGGTTGTTCTCACTTGCCTGGTTATCAGGTTATCTGGTTATGTGGTTATATTTTTTATTCAATTTACAACAATAACACACTACAGAATAATAATTTTTAACCAGATTACCTGATAACCAGGCAAGTGTGAATAACCCAAGTATTTTATCGAAAGTCCGTAAAATTTTGCAGTTTTCATTCCCTCCCAAGCGTGGATGATATTCTGCTTTAGTTCTGGGATTTAAAAATTTAAATAAAAACACATTTGATCTTGTGGGGGACCCATCATCATCTTTTCGCCTTTGTTTGTGTACAAAATAATTATGAGGGGCCCAAATGCGTTTCTATAAGATCATCTGAGCACATTATTTCATTTCGCAAGAACTTCATTACTGAGGAAAATGACGGATCCTTGAAATAATTTTTTTGAAGCTTGGGTCGAGTAAAATTGATATAGGTAACAAAAAGAGAATGTTCGATAGAGCCAAACCTTCGGTCAAATTACTTCAACACGGCATCTCTTAATTTTTGGGCGACGGGCTGCCTTGGTAATATTTTAATTATTTGATCGCGACCGCAATGCACTAGCGGAATTACTTGGCTTAAAGTCGTGCGTTTTTCGCCACAGCACAATTACTGTCATTGCCTCTAAAGCTCTCCATATACTTAATACTAGAGTTCACTCTTTGATGCGAAACTGTGTGCGTTTGAGCGAAATTGCGAAAGTCGGCAGTTTTTTACAACAAACATATGGCACCGTTATGGCGTCGTTTCGCACAGGCGAACAGAAAAGCAACAAAACAAATGCTAATTTTTGCCTTTCGCATTTTCGCATCAAAGAGTGAACTCTAGTATTAAGTAGCCTTAATATTTCTATTACATTTAATATCTTTTTTCCATTGAAGTTGTCATTACCGGAGAATCAGAGTGTCTAGCAAATTTGGCTGATGTAGTATGAACCTAGTTTTATAAACCGTTCAAGCATATCGTCGTTTAAAGTACAAAACCCCTTATCAAGATAATGCAAAACCGTAAATTGTTTTGTAGAGTAAAAACACTCATATTTCAAAATTGTTCTCTCGTTTATAAACAATCGCATTTCTGACTAATATATTTCAACACGAATGGATAAGGCTTGAGTTAATAAAGGCTTCGGTGAGCAAATCCAATTTTAGGCAAAAAATGTTAGCTACGCGGTTTTGCAGAACGACGATACGCGGTTTTGTACTTTAAACAACGATATAATTCCACCTTGTTTTTATTGGTTCTAATTGTTTAATTGTTTAATATTGCTTTGAACATTTTTCCTTCACTTATGCCTGCTGACGCTTGCATTCTGGGAAGAGAGTCATTTGCTTTAACGCGCTTTAAGCTCTTAAAAATACTTTATATTTTTTAAAATTGCATCTACTTCAGGAGCAGTGTTGCCATTTTGGTATTTTAGGAGCTAGATTTAGCTCTTTATTTTTCTAATTAGCTCCGGAAATTGGGCTTTAGCTCCTAGTTCTTTTTTTTAGCTCTTTTCAAAACTATATTCAACAACTTTTATTGAGCTTGAGGCCGTCGTTAATGAAAAACTATTGTGGAAAAGCAACAGCAATTTGAAAAAATGGTAGAAGTGATAGATTTTTCGGAAATCACTACAATTCCTTATCAGACTTCTTCAGCGGGATTCGAACCGACGCTCCAGCTGACTCAGCCAGTTGCCTACGCACTGTGTCTTTTCAAAATTATCTAGCACTTTTTTAGCTCCACAAAGTTTAAGTTGTATTAAGTAATATATTAAAATTACGAATCTGTAATTTCTTTGCACAAGTGTTGACTAAAATTTATTTGGCTTTGGTGATCTCAGCCTATTTTCGAAACCTTCATGTTATTCTATTTCGCGCGGGAGCACACAAATAATACCGGACAGTAGTTTGAGCTCCGATAAGCTCAAACGGTGTATTTTCTCTCAGGCGGCCACGATAGAAAAGGAAAGCCAAAACTTAAGCGTTGATAAAATTACAAATTTCGAAATGCAGTGGAAAAACATACATTTGTATCCACGGGAAAACAGAGATTCCGCCATAAACTCTTGGATCTAGATTAAAGAATTCAAAAATTAATTAGAAGAAAATCCTTATTCCGATCGCGCGGATTTTGTGTTTAGCTTACTAATTTTACCTTTAAGGAGAAAAGGAAATACAACTTTTCAGAAAAATTTGGAAAAAAATGATTCGTAGCCGGAGTTTTTATGGTCAATTCAAAAATGTATCTGAAATTGCAGGTAGTTTATATACATAAAGACGTGCATACATTTAAGTGTTATAAGTGCCATAGGTACAAATTCGAAGTATACCATGCACCTAATTTTGGGTTTAAAAGTTTTTTCAGCACTTAACTTTAATCGTTGTTTTTATTAAAATTGAATTATTAACAAAAACCAACAACCACATGATCAAGTTTAAATAGCACTGGAATAGCTGCGCTTGATTGTAGTTGGCTTTACGAATGAAAAAGTTGAAAAAAGCAACAAGAATTTACAAGGCGAACTTAGCACGGTGCGTAGGCAACTGGCTGAGTCAGCTTGGGTCGTTGAATCGAATCCCACTGTAAGAAGTCTGATGAGGAAATGTGGTGATTTCCGAAATAGCTTCTACCATTTTTTCAAAAATTATTGTTGCTTTTCCACAATAGTTTTTCATTAAAACCGGCCTCAAGTTCAATAAAAATTGTTGACTATAATTGTTATAAGGCCATGAAATAACAAAAACAATTGCGGACATGTAAAAACAACATTACATCAATAAATGCTCAACTTAAAACAAAGTTATCTCTTCATTTTAGGTACTATTAGTATTAGTTAGCCCTTTTTAGCCCTTTTTTCAACCGTTTTAGCTCCAAACGACAACACTGTTCAGGAATGGTCTGCGAGTTTTTACAAACCAATTTAAGTGTGTGTGCAAAACTTCCTTCCTTCCTCCGCTTCCTGCCAAACGTTTCATGAATAACCTCCCTATTATGAATTCGTACGATGCACGATAACCGCTTGCATTCTGTTATTCTCTATTACGAAACGATGTTCTCGTATGAAATCCGATAGTTAGTGTAGCTAATTTATGATGCTTCATAATAAAAAGTGAACAAAAAATACAGTCATTCACAACAAAACATCTATCGGGCGCACTTAAACGATAATTCGAGAACTGATTTCATACGATACGCTTGCAAGCGTTTATCGTCTATCGTATGAAATTTCATAATAGTTTTACAAAATTTTAACTAGTTATTGTCGGTCTTTTATGGGAGCCATATTTCGGATAGTTCTAGTATTGAAATGCACTCTTGCGAACTTTCAAATGTAAAACTTCGTGCAGCTTGATTCTGTAACGTAATGTTGGATTTCCTCCAGACATTAAATGGCAAAATGGAACACATTTTTTGTCATTTCAATGCCTAGTGGAAATTCAGCATTAGGTTTGTAGTTTTTGCAATGGGCTTACAAGCACAACTATATATTTACACCATTTTATGAAATTGAGCAATTCTTGCGGCTGTTTGTAAATTTAGACAACTTCAATTCATATTTCTTGAAAATATTTTTACGATTATTTTACAATTAATCGATTAATAATCGATTAATGAAAGACAAAACTACGATGCAATTAAATCGCAAATTGGACAAAAATAATCAATTTATAAAATCAAATGATTAATCGCCGCCATCCCTGCTTACTAGCATCGCAACCCGCGTTGAATAATTTCAGAGCTGAAACGTTTCTGTCCATTCGAATTACATGACCTAGCGGAGCCACTGAATTTTAATTCGCTGCACTATGTTTATATCGTTGTAAAGCTCATACAGCTCATTGTTAAATCGCCTGCGGTATTCGCCCCCGTCAACGCGCAAAGGCCCGTAAATATTTCGCAAAAGCTTTTTATCGAAAACTCCAAGAGCTGCTTCATCATTTGTTTTCATTGTCCATGGCTCCGGCCATACACCAACACAGGCATGGTGAGAGACTTACATATAGAGTAGAGTAGAGATATAGTATTTTGTGCAACGAGAGAGGACTTTACATCCCAATTGCTTACTGCCATACCTAAACAGAAGCGTCAGCGTTGTCTGGCTGTCAAAAAATTCTCACGCCTATAAAATTTGTATGAAGCATACCGAAATAACGCGGCGCCAACGCTGAGCGGTTGGAAAATCCGATTTTGACAGGGCGTTAGGTATTGAAGTTGGCTGCAGGGCGAAACTGTCATTTTCGTGTTACACACCAACAAACCTATGCTTATTTTATTTATTTGTTTATTTATTTATTGTTGGCGTTATTTCTGCATTTGACGTAGCGTTGACGCTTTTGTTTAGGTATGGCACTTCGGCGCTAATTTTAGGCGTCAGAAACCGCTCCGCCCAACGTTTTTGTTTAGGTATGGCAGTTACTCAGTCCAAAGTAGCACTTGTTGACAAGAGTGATTCTCTGTTGGATTTCAAGGCTGACATTATTATGGGTGTTAATACTGGTTTGCAAATAAACGAAATCGTCCACTTTTTCAAACTTGAATTTTCAACAGTGACGTGGATGCCAAGACGCGCATGCTCTGCCTGTTTGTGTGATGGCGGGAGATACTTCATCTTGTCCTCGTTCACCACGAACAGGCAGAACAGACGTAGCCAAGGCGAATTTATACAAGGTGGTATTACTGGCGAATTAAGATTTTCGCCGCGGTCCTTCTTCATGTCAAAATGATGTGTTTTGTTGTAAACAAGGCGAATCCATATTAAAACAAACACATCATTTTGACATTCAGAAGGACCGCGGCGAAAATCTAAATTCGCCAGTAACACCACCCAGTATAAATTCGTTTTGGACGTAGCCATTGTTTTTACCGATTATGTTGATGTCGTCGACATACGCCAGCAATTGTAAAGTATTGTACCTTAGCGGTTCAGTTCTGCGGCACCAACATCAGATTAAAGAAATATTTTTATATAACGTAAATAACCTTTGTTTTTAACATCCATAAACATGTTATATAATTTTAACCCAAATTGTCCCAGATTAATCTTTTTTAGATTTTTTTTGGTTTCACCTATATACAGGTTAAAAGTAGCGTTAAAGTAAAGGAAAAAATATGACTAAAATTTTTGGAGTAGTATAGTTCTTCCGATATCGGCGGTTGCCATATGGCAACACGGGGCGTATTCCAGATGGATTGTTAGAAGACAGTATTTGGTTAAAATATGAAATAATAGAAACATTTTGTATAAGTTTTAATACATTTATTGATAATATATGCATATATACATAAACATACATCACATTTTGCACAGGCTACTAGTCCTATAGTTTTACATGCTTCACCAGCACAACGAAGTTTTTATGTACATTTGTATGGGTCAGTGGTGTAGTCAAAGAACGTAGATAACAAGAAGGGACAACTCGTTATAATTGTGGCGAAAGTGCGCGGGCGTGCCTTCTCTTTTCATCCCATCAAAAAACGCACTAGGGCAAAAGAGAAGGCACGCCCCTGTTGCGCACTTTCGCTACAATTATAACGAGTTGTCCCTTCTTGTTATTTACGTTCTTTGGTGTAGTCACAAAAAGATTAGGTCGCAGTGTGGAGATCCCTGAGGCTAGGTATTTAGCATCGAGCTGTGAGTTAAAAACCACACAAAGTATTTGGGAGTAGTCTTGGAGAGTAAGCTGCTCTGGATGCGCAATGTTGAAGAAAGAGAGAAGAAGGCCAGTAACGCATGTAAAAGAATGCTGGGAGTCACTTGGGGTTTGTCACCTGCTCTGATGCATTGCTGCTACACAGTAATTGTCAGCCCAATACTGCTCTATGGCACTTTGGTGTGCTGGAATGCCGCAAAAAAGTCCTTATGCCTCGGGCCGATGGAGAAGTTTCAGCGCCTAGTGGCTGCTCTTTAAAAAAACCTGCTGCGAAAACCGCACATAGATTGACGGTCATAGGGAAATTAAATTTCAGAACCTTGGGGCACCGCTTAATTGGGGCGGGAAGCACAAGCAGCACAGACTTCATGACACCTAGCTTTAAGTGCGAAACGAACTTTTTGCACAACGATTGAGGAGCGGGGATGGCGCAAGGGAATGAAACCTAGCCATAGATCCCTAAACATTTTCACGGACGGCTCTAAAATGGTTACGGGAGTGGGTGCCGGAATTTACTGCCGGGAACTGAAAGTCAGGCGGACAATAAGGCTACTTGACCATTGCAGCATATTTCAAGCAGAGGTTTTCGAAACACAATCAATTCAAAGTTAAACCTATTCCAGGCGGCAATTAAGGCAGTTTCCTCATATAGTATTTCATCCATAACCGTCTTTCCCAGCCGGGAAGCCATTGGCAATTGTAGATGCTGACAAACGGCTACATATCTATTGGGTGCCCGGTCACAAGAAAATCTAGGGTAATGAAGTAGCAGATGAGAATGCAAAAAACGCCACCAGTCTTCCCTGGAACAGACAAACTACATTTGTATACCACTTCAACACTTGTACAATGAAATATACGATAATATGATTAGGCAGTTCAGAGCTAGATGGAATGAGTTAACCACCTGCAAAACTACATAAAAACGATTTTTGTTTACACCATCTCATACATGATGGTATTCTGCGTTGCCATATGGCAACACGGGGTCAATTTGTGCTAGCGAACATATCAAAATTTGGTAAAAAGAGGAACAGTTCACATTACGTCCCGTGTTGCCATATGGCAGGGGTGGGCAAGGCCGAGACCGAAAAGAGCCACATGTGAATTCTAAATGCTACAAAGAGCCACAAAAATCAACTAAAATAAAAATTTCATTTTTAAATAAAATTATTATTAGAAATGAAAAATATTAATTTTAATATTGTTCTAATGTACGTAGATAGATACTAAAGAAAATTCAAAAGATCGCTTGGGCCAAATTTTCAAAATCTGGTTTTACGTCAGTTAAAGCCGTTCGTAACAGTTCTTTTAAATGTTTAGTCAATAGGTACGTTCGTTTAAAATTTCCAGTAAAAAATGTCCAACAACAAAATTCCGGCGAAATGTCATCTGTTCTCTCACAAGTGAAAAATATCCAAAATAATACGCGCACAGAAAATTTGCAGAAACTTGCAAGTTAGACGAGCAGCCATGGGCGTAGCCAGGTAGGGGCAGGACGAACAATTACTTACTTCTTACGGATTTACGT